GTATCAATTAATCGTCCGTCTGATATGGCTGTAACATTGTATTTGAACATAATATCTTTAAGTGCTTGTAATGTTAAATTTGTATTACATAATGTCCGATTGCAATAAACAGTAAAGGCAGCTGAACTATGCGATTGATACATGTAGACAGCTACTCTACCCGTTAGTATCAGTTTGTTGGTACACGAACGATTTATTGTATTTTGAAATATTTTATTCGATATAAAGCACGAACTAGGTTTTGTTAATGTATCACATTGAAGTTCATTTTCATCTGAATCGTAACAAGTGAGGTTAGAATTATTCGGTATTAGAAGAGAACTTGAGATAAAAGATATAAGTTCATTCATAGTTTTTGGATTTTCATATTGTCGTTGTAGCATTTTGACTACCGCATTTTTTGCCAAATCATGAGCACAATCATCTTTATTTTTGCATCCATAGCTAATATAATACGAAAAATACAATCCGCTCAATTGTAATCTCAACAAGACGTTACGCTCATTGTCTCTAGTTTGGATAACGTCTGATGCACCGGCTTCTAATGTAATGGTGTATTCTTGTCTATCATAGGAAAAGGTAAGATATGCAAGACATTTGCCAGCTGATACAATTTGATTACATCGATCAGGAATATTGAATGATGTTGTGAAGTTGTTTGTAAACGAACAATACGGAGTACATCGAAGAGCATTAGACGTGAAGAAAAAATATAAGAAAAATGGGATGAATGTTTGACTGAATAACATGATAATAAAGGAACAAAAAAGTTCTGTTGATTATGAAAAATTTTATTAAAATAGCAGTATAAATGCTTTTGCTTTTACTTTTTCTGCAAGTATTTTATTGAGGTGCATAAAAAAAATATTTACCTTGTTGTGATAAAGTAATATGATAACGTGAATTTTTCTCCATCTGTAAAACACGTGTACTATAAATGACTACAAAGAAACAAGGAATACAGAAGAGCAACTTATAGATTCTATCAATGTAGTATTATAAAAGAAATAGAAGGATGAAAGAACGAGTGCAGAAAGTGTAAAAATTATGTCTTTCTCTAGAGTTCTTGTCTATAAAATATACATCAATAATGAAATAGAATTCACAATGTGGTATTATTTTCACTGTATTGATCGTAATGATGAATCAGACTTATATGAGTTACAATATGTGATCTTTCATTTCCTTTTGGTTTTTCTATTTTATTTAGTATGGTAGAATCCATTGGGTATATTAGAGATAGTTGAATTCCATTAAGAAAACAGTAACATGTTTCTGAAAGATACACAAAAGATCTTTCATTATAATTTATCAAAGAAACAGAAAGTGAGTTAGGTTTTATCTAGAATGGTGTGGGTGTGGATGTGGGTATATGGATGAGGGTATATGGATGACAAAAGACATCAACACTCACACCCTCAATCTATAAAAACAACATTTTCTGGAACACGTATCAAAGATAAAATTAATCCTGATTTAGCAAACTCATATTTCAAAGTGAAAGTTAATAATACGACGAAACTCTCACATAAACAGTCAGCAGTATCGTTATTGACTGAGAAAAATGATCATCTGTCAACCGATAGATTATCACGACCTATGGAAGGAAGCAAATAAAATTAAATAAAAAACGATTCGAACATTTTTGTCTATTGAAACATCAATTATATGATTATTGATATCAAAAAATTTTCATTAATAAAAGGATTTTTAAGATACAATTATATACTTAGACATATGATAAGATAAATCGATCTGAATCTATTGATAGATGAATGATGAGATCGGCTCGGTCGCAACACTTCTAGTGGAGGTAATGTGATCCTATGAACTACAATTCAGCAAACAAATAACAAGTCATCAATGTATATGTGTATCAATAACCACAAAAGAATAGAATAAAAAAAAACGAAAAAAAGATATCAGCATGGAAATCTGAGGGTGATACAGATGGAGTCCTTTGACAGCTTTAGAACCTTCCCAACCGGCCATCCGATAGGTATTTCGACGCGTCGATTTTGGCTTCCGTTGGGCATCGAAATTTCAAATCGACCCCTGGGTTTGCCATTTTCCGATGGGTCGAGGGCTCCGCGATAGGTTGTTTTTAATAGCGGTTTTCAACCACTCGAATAATCGTTTCCGATGGATCGGAATTTCATCGAAAAAAAGAATTTTTATCCGATGGATGTCTCGATTTCGAGCTGTCCAAACCTATCGAATATAAATTTCGAGTCGTCGAAACCTATCGAACATATGCGAAGAAGTAGATTTGAACATGGGTACTTACGATGCACTTTCCTCGAACAGTTGATCTAAATATGAACTGTTATTCTCGTATCAAAACGACCTTTTTAATTCATAAGAAGATAGTACTTTTTTTTCATGCTTCCTAACTTTTAATTTTATTTTTTGAAAACTAAAAATAATATTTTTAGTCCAGAGAGAAAAACTTCGTTTAAACATTAGAAATAATATTTTTCATTCAGAAAAAAGATTATTTTTTTGAACAATAAAAATAATATTTTTTATCGAGAAAAATTTTATCATGAAAAAAATTTCATCAAGAAAGAAAAACTTTTTATGTCTATAAGTGACACAAGAACTTTTTTTAATTTAAGACTTCGTGTAAATCACTTATTGAATAAATATGATGTGCAATATGTGATAATCAACTAATTTGCACGTGGAAGTATGAGATCAATATTTAGTAATTTTTTTAAAATTCACAACGTGAAAATTCATTACTACTATGTCTTAGCCAAAAACACAGGTGAATTTTAGTTTTGGTTCCAATCGGTGGACGATAAATTTTAATCTGAAAATTTTAAAATTAAGGTGATTTATGAAGCAACCTTGAATAATTCTACTAAAATTATTGAATAAAAATAAAGAATATTTTAAAACTGGATTTTGAAGAAGTTTCACATGATCAAGATTATAGACTCCTCTGTCAAGACTGTTTATTGTGATCGGTTTGACTCTTTTGAAGAACTCAAAATGGTCCTTTCAATATGTTTGTTTTAGTCGAGTGATTAAAATGTGTTAGAGGCGTCGATAGTATTATTTCGATAGGTGACTTCTCTCGGAGTACTCGAAATTTCGATGAGTGCCGAGATGTCGAAATATATATGACGAGTCGAAAATGAGTCGTCGATAGGGCACAGTGTCCGAGTGCTCGAAATTCGATAGGTGTCGAGGGGATCGAAATTGAAACAGAACGAAAGAAACATATATATATATATATATAATGTTCGACCGCTCGTCGCACCCATCGTATGCTTTTTTTGGTCTGCTTGGGTTATTGAAGATCTAGAGGACTTTTAAGGAATCCAAAAGAATCTCATGGAATCCTAGAGAATTTCAGAAAATCCTAGGGACTTCTAGGGAATCCAAGAGAATCCTTGGAATCCAAAAGAATCATAAGGAATCTTTGGAATCTAGAGGAATTCAGGATTCCGATTTTTCTCCCTTGCCTAGACTTCGATGATTCCATAGAAGTATGTTGAAATATTATTAATATTTTTTTTGTACATGTAAACATTATTTTATATTAACTAATATAGATTTCTAATAAACGTAAATCAAGGAGTACAAATAAAAGACAAAAATTGAATAAAACAACTTTACTAAAAACACAAATGTCCAATGGTACTGATTTGATATCAAAAATATTTTCAACTATGGAAAAATATAAAGAGGTAAATTACTAAAATCATTCTTCTATTGAATTTACAATGAAAAACTGTAGAGTTTAAAAGTTACCTAAGACTTAAGATCTATCGACGAGCTATTCATTGCTCGGCATTGAGAATTAAACTAACCTAGCACTTACGAGAAAACGCCCTCTATTGATTCATTTCACTTTCGCTGTTGTTTTGTGCACATGGAAGGAGACTCATTCGAAGAAAAGTTAGGCTAATGCGATTTTTTTTTTGTTAAATAGATACGAATATGATCACTCTTGCTCATATCAATAAAATTTGTTAGAGAGTTGTCCAATCACAGAAAAAATGCTTAAAAGTTTTAAGATATCCTATAAACCACTAGATCAGTCTGTTTTCTATTTTAGATTAAAATTTTTTTTTGAAATGAATTATTTTCAAGAAAAGTTTTTCGTAACTACTGACTAAAGACTCTGGAATTCTTTTAGCATCTACTTCTGTTCATGATACAGAATTGTTATTCGCGAACAAGTCAGAGTGGTTATACTATGATTTATACAATATGCTTTCTTTTTTCTTATCATACAATGAATACATTCATATCTATTGAAAGAAGTCGCATCGAGTCAAGTTTTCTTAAAGTTTTTCTTAGAATAAGATTCCTTGCATGCACGCAGAAGATCAGCGAAAATGTATTATAGAAAACTTAATTAAAAAATCGATTAAATGGATCCGTATTAGGGTGTGAGGTGTGAGTGTAGTTCATCTCTCAGCTAGCACCTACACCCTCATGTGAACCCACTTCCACACCTACATCCTTCACTTTATTTGATGAATAAATGAGAATAACTAATTTTATTAAATATGAATAATATCAAAACATTCATAATTTTGACTACACAATGATAGTTTAGTGAAATAACAACCTGATGCGTATATTATTCACATGTAGAACCCACTTGCTTAATGAAGCGAACGAAATGAAAACAATTGAATATTATTTCACATAGCAATCGAATAGAAATAAGAAATAAAATCATTTAGCGTAGGCATGTGCACACGCGTTCTAATCAAGAGAAATGAAAAGAAAAAAACAATGATGAGACTTATCTTTTGTTGATGCGTCACCATTGTGACTAAGTATTTATGCATTTGTTATGGTTGAGAAATTTTTTGTCCCATGTTTACTCGTCATTTTCTATTTCATACGAAAAAGTTTTCGTATAATGACGAGAACAAAAAAATTGCATATAAATAGATATCATGAAATTAGTTTTTATTCATTGATCAAAAGAGAAATATTCGTCTATAGTTAATTCATCTATTAATACGTTAAATATGTATGGTTACAACACTCATATTGCTAGAGAATTAAAATCTGATTTATGGATTGAAGAACATGTTTCGGGTGGATTAAATGGTAAGGATATTTAAATGCTCTCACTAATATTATTAGAATAAGATTTATTTTTTTCACTTACATTTTATATACATAGGTATGTATATTGACAAGTAAAACTAGTTAATAAGGTTTAAATTGTTTTTTAACGGTCACAGTCACAAAAAAAAATTGAATAGAGAAAAATGTATGCAAGAAGAATACGCAAATACTAACATGATTATCAGATTTTATAAAACACGACTTTGAGAAAGCTAACCAAGGAACCTTCCCAAGTGCCAGAGTGCTTTTCGGTCGGGATTTTGCGCATCTTGTAGCCCATAGTAAGCTATGTCTATGGTAAAAAAAAGTTCGGGCCTCTGACTTGTTTCTGCGAAGATATCGAGCTTCTAGTGAATTTTCTCTATAGTACGCTCACATTGGCATCAAAGCTATACTTTCGAATTTTGATCTGAAACTTTGTCTGAATAAAGGCGTCAGCTAGACTAGTTTGCATAAAAAATTTCAGAAGTTTTTGACAAAGTTTCTTCAAGATACGAAGCTTTGAAGAAAATGCGTACTGTACGTATTATTTATGAAAAAGGGATTGTACCTTGATAGTTTCATATCTTAGAGAGACTTTATTCAAAACTTCTGAAATTTTTTATGCAAACTAGCCTAGCTGAGGCCTTTATTCAGACAAAGTTTCAGATCAAAATTCGAAAGTATAGCTTTGATGCCAATGTGGGCGTACTATAGAGAAAATTCACTAGAAGCTCGATATCTTCGCAGAAACAAGCTAGAGGCCCGAACTTTTTTTACCATAGACATAACTCACTATGGGCTACAAGATGCGCAAAATCCCGACTGAAAAGCGCTCTAGCACTTGGGAAGGTTCCCTGGTTAGTTATTACTTATGTCTAAAGTGCAATACATACATATTGTATGAAGGAGTATGTGACTTATGAAAAATAGAAGAAGAACAGGAAAAAGGGGCAAATGAAAAAAAAGAATTGATTTCAGCGCTCGGATACTCGTTTCGTTAAAGATAAATAGTATAGACGAACGAATAATGTCGCTTCATGCTCTTATTAAATTATTCAATACTAATATAAACAAAAATTTAAATTATTTATATGTGTTTTTGTTTCATGATTGTTTGTTTAGTGTATACAAATGGTTTTAATCATTATGATAATAATGAACCATTACGAATTCTTTTGTTTGCTGACAATTTTCCATCATTTACAAGTGGTATAACACGTCGATTTAGAGAAATTATAAGACGTTTAGCTGAACACCACCATCATATTCATGTTATAACTGGTTGTAGTGTAAGTTGAATTAAATTAGAAAGAAAAAAAAGTGTACAAATTTGAATAATTTGCTTTTAAACATTTGTCTTTTTTTAGAATGCTCTTTCATGGGTCAAAGGAAATGAATTACTTGAAAAATATGTAACATTTTCAACTTTACCATCAACAGATTTTAAAAATAAAATTGATTGTGGTTGTCCATTTCTTTTTCCTAGTGTAAGTAATAATTTAAATAACAAAAAAACACAAAAGAAAAACGGATGTATCTGTTCTTTTAAAGTTTTATTGATTTTTATTTGTATCAATATGCAATATAGTAATTTCAATATCGATGAAAAGTAAAAAGGATGATTCATAAAAATGAAAGAACAGAAGAAAAAAAACTAATTATTCATTGAATCTATTCGAAGTAAAATAAGTCTATAGGTATTAGTATGATTATATTGACATGAATAATAATGACCCTTATATATCTTCATTTATATAGTTTAATATTGTTATCAGAAAGATAAAATTTTGAATTATTTAAAATAAGATAACAGAAAATAATTGTTTGTTTAAATGATAAATTTTTATGAACTATGAAAGACGCTTTTGAAATATTCCCGCACTATAAAAAAATTTTTTTTTTCATTCCAATCATATAACTATGAATTAAGATAGGTTTTTTGATTTAGTGAAAATAATTTATTACATTTTTTATAAACTCAAAATAGATATTTTCCTAATTCAAGTCTTTCATTTATCAAACACCTTGTGAAACAATAAGAAACAAAAGGTTTTATTCGAATCATTGGAAGGTCTTGTTGTTGTAGATAATGAAAAAACTGCCTCATATGTTACGACTTTTTTATCAAATCTTTTTTTTTATTTGTAAATATTTCTCAGAAAGTTAAATCATGAAGTTTCGTTCTGTCATCAAGATTTTGAATTTATTAAATCAAAGTCCTATAATTTAATATTCACGGAGCTATCGAAAAATGAGTTGAAGATTAGAGAATTGTGTTGAAGTTATGTTTCGACGTATTTTATTCATTTTATAACGTGATGTACTTTAGAATGTCTTTCTACGGTTTCATAAAGATGGATGAAAATCAAAGTTAAGATCCATGCTGACTACTTCTCATGGATAAAATCATTAAAAAGGCATCAATCGAATTTTGAAAACATATATGAGTTTTGTAAAGTGAATATCAAAGAATAAGACTTACAATTAAAAACAAACTTCTTGTAATCAGACACTTAGCAGAGATTTCTATCGAACATCCAGTAAATTAGTCATAAATTCGTGCTAGTAGTTTATTGGAACGAATCCATTCAAGAGTTTACTAGTTACAACGAGACCTTTTTTCTGAGTTTAAACTGCAGGCTTTAATTGGGATAGTTCCTTTGTTAGAAACTTACGATATGATTTTTTCTATTAAAACTAATGGTTTCGAACAAGTTAATCCTTGTTTTTATTATTAAACTCAAAAAGAAATAAGTCAATGTTAATATACTATAGCGGATGATATCACGATTTTCCTTCTTAAGTAAGTCTTCTAGGCAAATGACAATTTTTTTTCAGACTAGCTTTACTAAATAATCAAACTCGACTACAAGGGACTTGAAATATATATAGAAACGATGTTAATCGATGGTTTGAACAACATGAGAAATTAATGAATAATATTTGTGATTGTAACTATTGAACAATTTCTTTTTTACTCTAAAATCAATATAATCATTGTTTTTTAGCCGACGATTTATTCTATAATTCGTCGATTTTCACCTGATGTTGTTCATATTGTTGAACAAACTCCTGGAGCAATACTTTGTGGTATATTTTCTAAAGTACTTAATATTCCTATAGTTTGGTCATCACATACAAATGTAGACTCTTATGTATCAACATATATTCGTAGAGGAGCTATAACAATGATAAGACGTTTTTATCAATTTATACGTTTAAATTATTTATCATATTCAACAATTAATTTAACTGTTAGTAGAGATTTTGCTGATTTTATGGAACATACTGGTGTTCCACGTCCTGTTATTGTTTGGAAAACAGGTGTTGATTCCGAATTATTTAATCCAACACGATATTCACGTGAAATGCGTTATCGTATGTTTGGTACATATAATAATTTTACTGAAGAACAAATGGATTCAATGACATTATTTTTATGTGTTGGTCGTATATCAGCAGAAAAAAATTTTGAATTTTTATCACTTCTATTAAAACGTATTCCAAGTGAAATATTCTTATGTATTATAGGTGATGGTCCATTTCGTAATACAGTTGAACCATTATTTCCTAAAGATCGTGTTTATTTTTTTGGTTATCTTGCTGGTGAAGAATTAGCAAGTGCATATGCAAGTGCTGATTATTTTATATATGCATCTGTTAGTGAAACATTTGGACAAGTTTATTTGGAAGCTATGGCTAGTGGTATACCTATTGTAGCAGCTGAAGGTGGACAATTAAAAGAATTTCTTATTAATGGTGAACATGGTTATTTATGGGAACCGAATAATTTAGATTCAGCTGAAAAAGCCATACGTTTAGTTATGAAAAATCGAAATTCTTTATCAACGAAAGCACGACAACAAGCATTAAAACATTCATGGAATGCAGCTCGTGATCAATTGAATGATATTTATTATGAAGCTATTAAAAAACATAATAATAAACAAGAAAATAAAAATAAAAATATGAATAAATTAAAACTTATATGGAATGTATGTTATTCTTTTACTATATGGTTATTTGGTCTTTTAGTTGTATTATTGTTATTGGCACTATTTGTTCGAGTTTCTTCACCGCAATCGATTGCCCCAAAAAAACATAATAAGAATTCTCTTGAGAAAAAAAAACATAATTCTATAATGACAAAGAAATTATCATTTTCTTGATATCAAGTTTGCTTTTATTTTTTCTATGTCAGTCTCTCAGAACCAAAAAAAAACTTAAAACATTTTATTCAAATATAATATTATCAAATTTTGTATGCATACCTATACATTGAGATTTTATATGATATTAAATTGTATGTGAATTCATTTTCTATAATGGAGAATAGTCTAAAATAAACCGGCTGGTTCACGTAACTCTGTCACAGTCATAGGCCGAAACGAGTGAAAAAATATTCCACTCGACTCAGACAACAATCTTCAAAGTCATAGTTTATCGAACAACAATAATAAGTTATCAAAATAAAAAAAGTACACAAGAATGAAACAAAAAAAAACCTTGAAGCTAGATTCGTCGCTTGGCGATTTCAATAGAACGTAAGAAAAGTAAATTGTTTAATGTTGAAGGATCAAGATTTGAGCGTCTTTGAGTAACAATCTGGCCAGCTGCACTGAAAGTACGCTCAACCGCAGCAGAACTGCATGGCACTGCGAATATGTGTTTGGCAAGACGTGAGAGAGTTGGAAAGACCATTTGAATGTGTTGTTGTCTCCAAAAAACCAATGGATCTGTGTATTCTTCTTCCACTGAAAGTGCGATATAACGGTCAATCTCTTCGATAGTAGACTCTTTGACCGATTCTTTCTTATCCATTAGTTGCGACATAAACTTCATCTTCTTTGAAGGTGGTTCAGAAGGATTTTCATCAACTCCCACTGGGTCATTACCACTAGTAATAGGCAAAACAAAATTGTTACAGTACGCATGACAAGATTTGATTTGGATTTCTGTTGCTCCACGAAGTTGCTTGTAGTTGGGATGTAAAAAAGTAGTTCGAATGTGATCATCTTCGATTGTAAACATTTTATCAAGTAACTGGATCGCACGTTTGTAGAAGAATTTAATTCCTTTGGAAAAGTTTATGTAGAAATGGAAAAATCATTTGCAAGTTTTACCTCCTTTCTCTTTCTTCTCCCCAATGATCATTTGCTCTCGCAAGTAAGTAATGCATGGCAAAACACAATAAAGAGAAGGCGAATTACCAACTTGAACTTCTTTGAGAACATTTTTCCATCTGAAAAATAAGAAAGTAAAATCATAGATTTTTCTTTCTCGATGTTGTCCATCCACAACGAACTACCAGCTCCAAGTGTAAACAAAAAGATTACTCACGATGTCAGAAAATGAATCAGTCGTTCGACCATATCGAAGTTGATCTTCTGCAACCGCTTTTTCTGATGATGATCCTTCAGAACATGGAAAAGAAATGGTTCTGCATTCTTGAGGCTCTCGTGCAAGTCACACAATGTTAACCAACGAACAACACTTGATTGATGGAGCGTTACAGCTGTATTTGAATTGGTAGCAGTAGATGATGAATTGTCGGAATTTATATTATCGCTGTTCTTCTGTTTATCGCGCTCCAATTGTAGTTGTCGATTGAGATTTGCCTAAAATACAGAATAACTTAAATGTGATTAGAAAAAGACGGTTTATCCTTCAAAGTTACTAAATGATTATCTGCTTATTGTGGTTGAACGCGGATAGAGAATTTTGAAATATGAGAAACTGTTAGACAAATATGCTGACAGACGTGTATGTCACCGGTGTCGATAAAGATTGTGTCTTTGTAGGACATGAAACAGACGAGGACGTGTCAGATTCATGTGGTATTGATGTGTCTTCGGTTAAATCGATCGACATGCTCGAAGAATGAGTGATTGAAACTCGTAATAAAATGTGTTTGAAAAATGGTACTATACAAAGATAACATAAAAAAAAGAATGATACTGTCCCGTGTACGGTATTGACTACTTATATTTATCCGTGATCGGCCAATTCATCGCGGTCTAATTAATCTCTAAGTAGACTAATTCATCGACAACAATGAAAGTTTGTATACGTCACTCACTGTGACTTATCCGCCGTCATCAGTTTATGATAGTAACAGCGAATTCTCAGAAATTGTCAAAAAAGTCGTTGAAAACTTTTTAAAAAGTCGAGTTTCTCGAGTCGAACTCGACTCGACACATATTTTCAAAAAGCGGAATCGACTCGGTTTCGGTCTATGGTCACAGCATTACGTTTTTTGCTTATTTTGTTTTGACCATAACTCTGAAAGAAAAAGTCATAGAGAATTAAACGATGTTTTAAATTGAAAAGAAATTTGTTATGAAGACTTTGAGATTTCTCCAAGATCATAAAAATTTTTCCTCGAAAATCTATAATCAAACTGCTGATATCCACGTTAGGAAAATCCAGCGAAAAGGTAGATGTATGTATTTTGGTTATTCGAGGGAACACTTTAACCCTTTACTCCCCCCCCCCCCCACAGCGGTTCCATAAGAGCCGCCGATAAAATAACTATACAAATAGAGTACTAGCGTACCTAGTATGATAATTATGTTGTTTGATTTGCCAAATTTCTATCTCTTTGTGTGCCACCATTTAATTGGTCGGTTAACTCAGTGATGGGGCGAAAGGATGAAACGACTTGTTAAGCGTTGATTTCTTTTTCTTTAACCACATTATTGAATGAGCAAAAGTAACATACATCCTATCTTATTGGAGTAATGAAAAACGGAGGGAATAAAACGACCAAAATTAATGTCAAAAGAATGCATGTATTTTTAGCACATTTTCTTAAATAGCTATCTACTTTGCTTTGAACCGTTTAATAATTTCTGAAGACATTCAATTCAAAATAAATACTATTCTAACTTCTCATGAGCTAAGGTTTATAACACATATATTACCGTTTCTCTTAATTGTCTTAAAGATGTTTCATAATGGCTCCTCGGTCGCTTATGTTCGTTAGTGTGTGCATTTCGCCAACTATCACGATGCATTCAAAGCATATCCAAAATTGCTAGTAGACAGTTTCATCAATTTATGTCACCTAGAAAATCCGAAAGTTCTTTATCTACTGTAAGTAGAGAACGATTTGTTTCGAAAAATTCCATTTTTCTTTTAGTTTTTCCAAAATTATCGATTTTGTTGGTCCAATATTTCAAAAACGGAACGATGAAAAAAATTATTCTGTTTATCAATCGATAGCTCATAGAGTTCACTACAAAAAATGCTCTTACGGTTTTCAAATCCCATGCCTTCTTCTCTTCAATTTGAAACGTCGTTCAACTCTCCAGAGTAGTTCCTTTCAGACTTATGATCAAAACCAAATGAACAGAAACGTAACATTGTGATACTATGCCACTAGCGTTACATGAACTGGCCGAAATTAGATTGTTTTTATGTTTAATATTACTTACGAAAAGATGGCATTTGGAATTCTGTTTAAAGTCATATATGACTACAGTCCAGTATTTTAACCACAGGAGTGTCCGGAGTATCCCCAAAAATCGAGTTTGTCCTCGAGACTCTCGACAAACTATATAGCTTGTCCTTCTCCAAAATTCAAGTCATTCCTTCGAGGAAAAAATCCTGCATGAAATATTGCCACAGTCGAAAATTGTTTTTGGCTATGTTTAGAAAATGATAAGCATAAACTTAAAACATCAAAATTATGAATACAAATGGTCAACAACATTGACTCAATTCATTTATCATCGCCTGTTAGCTGCATGCTCGATGTTGGAACACAAGCCGAAATCTTAATGGTAGAAGAATGCCTAAATCAGAAGAAATAGATGTCAATAAAAAGATTAATTGCTGACATAAATTTTTCAAGAAACAACATACAGTCAATCTTGTATTAAGATCTAATTTACTTTCCAGACAATCAATGTTGAATAGGGGTGGGACTTTACCTTTACTTTACTAATAAATAGTAAATAAAATATTTACTATTTACTAAAGTAAAGTAAATAAAGTATTTACTATTTACTTTAGTAAAGTAAATAAAATATTTACTATTTACTTTAGTAAAGTAAATCAAATATTTACTATTTACTTTAGTAAAGTAAATCAAATATTTACTATTTACTTTAGTAAAGTAAATCAAATATTTACTATTTACTTTAGTAAAGTAAATAAACCATTTGTTATTTACTATTTTCTATTTATTAAAGTAAAGTAACTAAAGTACTTATTCCCTCGACTGTATGGAGGGTGATATGAAATAGAATGCGGTTGTATGTGTCAGGGTCTAAAGAACATCAGGGTAAAAAAACATCGTCTGAAAGAATATAAATCGAGGTCGAAGAATTCGAGTCTCAAGTGAGTTTTTCAAAATTTTCAATTGAGTTTTTAGGGTCAAGAGAAGGTTTTTTGGAGAAAATAACGATATTTTATTCTCTTTCTCGTAGAGAAGAGTCTAGCAAGAATAAATTGTTTGCTTGCTTGCTGGCTTGTGTGTCCGCACTTCACTGATTGTTCCAAGAATAATGTGAAAACAAAAGGGATTATCTTCCTTAAAACTTGACCAAAGGTAATCGAGGATGGGAGTTCAAATTTGAGGTTAGCTTGAATTAATTATTAACTAATTATTGATTGGCTATTGATTCTTGATTAATTATTAACTGATTGTTAATTATTAACATTTTCTAAAACTTGACTAAAGGTAACTGGGGTGGGAATCTGAATTCGAGGTTAGTTTTTATTAATCAATTATTTACTAGTTAATAATAATCAATAATTCTCACAAAGCTTACACAAAGGTAATTGAGGGTGGGCAATCTGAAACCGAGGTCAGTTTCTATTAATTATTTGTTAATTAGGTCTCACAAGTCAAACCTTCCACTGTTCAGAAAGCTGAACTCAAATGTCTAGATGAACTTGACAGAAAAACAGAGCGAAAATGTGCTTATTTCACTTTTTGAAATGGTGCAGATAAATAATTTGCTGAGAGTTCAGAAACAGCATTTCTACGAGAAAGAGCTGAGCGAGTCGGCAGACGAGCGTTACTTGTAAAGGTTAACGAAAGTAAATCGAGGTCGGAGAATCCAAATCTGAAGTCAATTTCTCAAAAACTCAAATAGTTATTTGTATGAAAAAATCATACTTTTCTCTCTTAATTATTGTCTAAGGAAAAAGCGAATTCTTT